GTCCATTGTCCCCCTGGTGCTCGTCCTGTCTCTCCTCGTCGAAGTGTCCACCCTGTGGTCCTTCGTTCATGTGCTCCTCCAGTCCCAGTCCTACCGTTTCCTCCCCTATCATCCCTACTCCGGTCCTCTTCTCCTCCCTCTGACTCTGCTTGCACTGCTCATCCTACCACCTCTCGCTTGCTTGCGTCGCTTGTCAGTAACCCTACCACTCCTCCTGAGACTGTCTCTGCTCTTGTCGCTACTATCACTGACTTCAGTGCTAGCCACTGCCTTGACTACGCTGCCACTCTGGTCTCTAGTACTGCCTGTTCTCCGTTCGTCGGTGGTGCACCTGCCCTGGGCAATAACGTCCTAGAGGATAGGCAGTATGAGCTGGCATACCTTGCTGCCACTGTACCCTATCTCTGCGCTATTCTTGTATCCCCAAAGGGCAACCCAGACGACATTGACATCCCTATCCCGCGCTCTTATGCCGAGGCAGTGTTGGGTGCCTGGGCAGCCTAGTGGATACCAGCCATGGAGGCGGAGATGGCATCCTACAGATCCACAGGCACCTACGTCCAGGGGGAACGTAGACGATGGCATGTGGATCTACAGGGTGAAGTGCACACCTAGAGAGCCGCTGAAGTTCAAGGCGCGTTACATGGCTTGAGGCTTCAGTCAACGAGAGGGTGTGGACTTCTTCTAAACCTTCTCCCCTACCTCGAAGATAACTACTCTTCGAGTAATCCTTCACCTAGCCGCACAGCGTGAATATGAGCTTCACTTACTCGACTTCTCCACAGCTTTCTTCCAGGAGAAGATCTACCTCCAGCGCCCACTAGGCTTCTCTAGGTCCTTCCCACCTGGGACTGAGTGGAGCCTGCGCCGCCCTGTCTACGGTCTACATAAGTGGCACAACACACTCCGCACCACAAAAGCTGCTCTGCAGTTCTTCTCGTCTTCTGCTAACCCCTTGCTCTTTGTCCGTGCTGTCAGACCCCGTCCTATATCCTAGTCTATGTAGACGATCTTATCGATGCGTCTCTTGACAGAGACGCACTGGCCTCAGTGAAGGCCGAGCTACTTAGGAAGCACACCTGCACTGGGGGAGCTGAGGCACTATCTGGGCTTGGAGATCTCTTGTGACTGTGCCGCTCGCACAATCACACTCCCCCAGTCCCATATGGTGCAGCCAATCCTTCAGAGGTTCACTCTCCAGTTCTCCTTAGCACAACCCACCCCTCTGCCTGTGGATCACAAGCTCTATGCTCCTGTCCCGGCTAAGCCGGTCGAGGCTAGTGGTCCATACGCCGAGCTGTCGGGTTGCCTCATGTACCTGATGATTTGCACTCGGCCAGTGTACCCTCTCAATATCATTGCTTGCTTTATTGCGACAGGGAGGCACCGACCATTCCACTGGTCGGCTCCCAAGAGGGTGTTGCGGTATCTCGCGATTACATCAGGACTGGGGCTAGTACTAGGAGGACGGGAGCGTGTGGTGCTTACAGGACACACAGACGCATCGTGGGCTGATGACTTGGAGACGCTCAGGTCCTCATAGGGCTAGTGTTCTAGTCTTGGGTTCTGGTGCAGTCTCGTGGAGGTCCACTAGGTCATCGTCTGTAGCTCAGTCTTGTTGCAATGCAGAGATGTACGCCGAGGCCATGGCTGCTCAGGAGCTCTGCTGGCTGACGTTCTTGCTCACCGACTTAGGTGAGCAGCCTAGGTTTGCACCGGTCTTGTTTCTTGACAATAGGGCCATGATCCTCCTGTGTCAGGAGGCTTGACTTGAGGGCAGGGCGAAGCACATCCAGCTGTGGTTCTTCCTGCTGCGTGAGTTGCAGCAGCGCGGTCAGGCTCATGTAGTATAGTTGGCCCCAAAGGCCAACACTACTGATATCTTCACCAAGGTGCGACCACCTCTTGACCATCAGCAGTCTTGTACTCAGCTAGGTCTCGTCTCAGGAGCTGCTCCCCTACTTATATCCTGATCTATAATATAGCGGTTTGTACTTGCTGTTCTATAGCTGCTTGTCTTGTTACACTTTCTGACTGGCCTTGTGGGCGTTGTCTCAGAGGTCAGACGAGTAGTGCTGCCCTGGTTTGCTCTGTGAACAAATATATATAATATAGTTAGTATATATACTAGTGATATCTTAACTTGGTGAGTTCTTAGGGGGTGCAAACCCACTCAGTATGCTCAACATTTTCCCTAGTCAACTTTTCTCCCGCTACTGTTACTGTATTGACATGGCGGTTTTACTGTACCATAGTTCTTGTTAGCAATGTTATGATACATATGCTAATTATTTGTCAAACTTCTATGTCTTTTGTCATGTCGACGTTATTACACATACAATAATTACTTGCATATAACCAGCGACAACAACGGAAAGCCAAGGCGCATCATACTAGTCAAATAGCGCGTCCCGTTCTCATGCGATACCGCCTCATGTGTAAGCAAATGCACTAATAATGGCCTCAGATGTTTTAGCAAGGATACGATCGTGAGACGCTGCGTGGCGTGCATATGTGCATGAACGACGTCTCGTAATACTCGTCTTGATGTCTTGGAAGGCGGCACGATATGCACCTATACGTAAATGTATAGATGTATAGCATCCATATGCTGTTGAGGGAATACAAAACACACGACGCAAACTGAAGCGTAGGTGCACGCAAATGAAATACGATTATGTCCAAGTGCATATGCCTTTTCACTGGTTTCCATATTGTTTGGTCCCAATCAATTATAAACGGTGTCATAGGATATTGATGTTCTTATTGAGTAACATAATCAATTTTATAATATCCATTAATTTTTTGTTGAGTAATAATAATATGGTAATTCGATTTCAGCACCTCTCTTTGATATTCTTTTTGTTACGTGCGCATAAGATATGGCTGTTCTAGAGCATACTTCATTTTGCAGATTACCTTTTTTTTTTTTTTTTTTTTTAACAATGCAGGGTATCATCGGTAGTAACGGAATAAGCTACAATTGGGGCAACTCTAGATTGTATAGGAATACATGCAGTAGGAATAGATTGTTTTAGGGTTAGAAATATTTATAAGTTGGGTGTAGCTTTTGCATCCCCAATATATCCCAACTCGATCCATCAGAAATCCCCACGTTTTGGATGGATCCCCTTGAGATTTCCCGCCGATTGTCCCCTATCCCTTCCAACTCCCTCTGATGTTTGGTAGAAAAGCTTGTACACCCTCATCCATAATCTATCAACTTCTGCTCGGTTTCTAGAATAGTATTGGAGCCTCTTTTCCACCTCTGCAGCTCATGATCCTTCCGCTCTGCTGGAGCTTCGCTTTACGCAAAGCATTTCTAGTCATCCTAATCGCCACGCTCTTAAAGCCGTTGACCCAAATTGCAGAAATTGCCTTTCAAGTTTATTAATCTCGAAACCCCCCGATTGGTAACCCAGTTCCCCAGAGCGAGAGCAAAAACGAAAGTTGCGCAACAAAACGACGGGAAACAGTCTATAATCTTGCGCCACCCCCAGCTGATTATGCCCCTGCCCCCGCCACACCAGGTGTTTGAGCGGAAAGAAACTTGAACTTCCCCCTATACATTTTGGGACTTTTCGGAGTGCAAACCCAGCCTAGCGCCACTACGCCCTAGGCAGCGAAAGCACCATGCACAGCACACGCCAGTTTTTATTAGGGCGCGGTACAATTCGTTTCAAGTGAGGTATGCGACTTGAACTCGCAAAAAAATATTATTATAGGACCTTCTTGATCGCGCTGAAAACATTTTAAACGTCTACAACCGCATCAGCTGTTCGAATTTCAGTTTGAAGACATACTCATGATATGAGGTGTACCACGCCCTGATATGCGCAAGTCGAGTTGCTTGGCGATTCCAAGCGAGTTGCGCAACTCGGCCAGGATGCGCAACCCAGAGTCACGTGCCCTTCCTTCCCGCTGTTTCCAGTGTTCCACGCTGTGCCGTGCGCCGCTCTGACCAGGTATTCTTCCCCCACTCCCCCCTACGCCTTGCGCGCGCCCCCACTTTCCTTTTTCCCACCCTCGATTTCCCCCAGTCGTTGTTTGTGAACATTTTGGTTCTGTCATAATTTGTATGCTCGTTCTGATTGGTTTTCGTAGTATGCTGTGTTCGCCCACTCTCGTCACCCTCACACCACTCCTCTACGCCCGTGTTCTTTCTCCAGCTCAACTTTTTGCCTGGTTCATCTTTATTAATCTTGTACATTTTGGGTCAACGGATTTAAGCGCTCTCTCCTCCCCGCTGCAGAGCTCGGCATTCCTGCCCTTCGAATTTGGGGCATAAAGTCATCACGTCTGATTGGGCTGCCGCCCATTGCCCCACATCCACGCTTCACTTCTCTTCAGGCTGCCACCTGCCGCCTTTCACCCCACATCAGCACATCGTCTCTCTTTGGGATGCCAACCATCGCCCCACATCCGCGCTTCATGTCCAATCGGGTTGCCGCCCGTTGCCCTGCATCTGAGCTTCACTTCTCTTCAGGCTGCCGTCCGTCACCCTGCAACAACGCGTCGCTCCTGTTTGGGCTGCTGCCCGTCGCCCCGCATCTGCACTTCGAAGCTGAACTGGCTGCCGCCCGTCGCCTTTGCAACGGCAGGGGGAGTCTAGCAGTGAAGAAAAACAAGTGAAGCAGCGAAGTAGAACAGGTGAAGCAGCGAAGCAAAACAGGTGCAACGACGAATTAGAATGACAGGAGGTGAACCTTAAACAACACAATTTCAGCCCCTTTCCGATCAAATTTCTCAGCATTGAAAATCGGCGGTCGAGCAGTCGGAGTATTGGAAAATCACACTCTACAAACCTTAATTTCCACATAGCCTATTGGCGACTTAAAGCCGTTGACCCAAATTGCAGAAATTTTGTTTCAAGTTTATTAATCTTGAAACTGCCCTTCTGGTAACCCAGTTCCGCAAAACGAGAGGGAAAACTAAGATCGCGCACCAAAAAGACGGGAAACATGTGATAGGCGTGCGCCAACCCCAGCCAATTCCGCCCCTGCCCCTGATACACCAGGCGTTTGAGCGGAAAGAAACTTGAAACATGCGCTCATACATTTTGGGACTTTTGAAGTTCAACCCAGCCCAGCGCCACCACGCCTAAGGGCGTGGTACTTCTGCAAAAACTGGGTCAAGTTGCGCAGCGCAGGAATCACAGTTTGCGAAGTGCCTGAAACGATAGCGAATTGTTTGTTACTAAATTCCCCGCACCAAATATAGTTTCGCATTTTGATTTGCATTTTTCGTGCGAGCGGCGTGAAAACACCAATGTTCTTTACAACAGTTGATATGCGTTCGCCACCCCACCCCAAAGTTGTTTGGCGAAAATTGCCAAGTCAAGTTACCCACACGAGTTGCGCAGCAGGGTCAAGTTGCACAGCCCAAATCTCGCCAAAAGCACCACGTCCTTACGTGTGCCTTCCTATTGTTCGCTGTTCATCACCCCTCCCACACTCCCACTCTCTCCCTCCTTCCCCCCCACCCCCCCCCCCCCCCCCTCCCCCCCAACCAACTTCCCGCGCCTAGCGCGCCCCTCCTTTCCCTTTTCCGTCCCACCCTCCCCTTTTGTCCTTTTATATTGGCGGTGTTTTGCGTGCTCGGTTTGTTTGCGCCCTGATTGGTTCATGAGGTTTCGTCAAGAGTGTTTTTGTTGCGCATGGTGTTGCAACGCTCGCTCGTTGGCGAAAACCTCTCGCCACCTCGCACCACTGCCCTACGCCCCTTCGCGCTGCCGTGTCCAACTTTTTGCCCCTATCATGTTTATTAATCCTGCACGTTTTGGGTCAACGGCTTTAAGATCTGTGCTACATGCAGAAAAAGAACATTGAAGCATCATGGAATCCCCCTCCGTGTGCCTTGACAATCCCAACACTGCCCTGTGCCTTGACCCCAATGGCTCGAGCCACAATTTCAAAGCGTAGAGCTGTGGCGTTGACAAGCATCGCCTGAGCTGCAAAGCTGAAGGAATTTGCCTCAAGGATGTCCTTCTCAACCGTGGTGAAGGAGAGATGCCGGTCTTACCCTCGCGGCAATAACCACTAAGGAGGAGACCACAGCGCATAAGGATTCAATGAGCAAGTACGAGGAAGCCTACGACATGTGGAAGCAGGTCGACGATGCAATTATAGGCGTATTTGTTGGCACTACCCATTCCGAGCTCCTCAAATCCTTTTACATTTGTAAGAGGAGCACCTCAACAAAACCACTGTAGGAGTCCCGATTCTTATTCCCTGCATGTTTCAAGTGTGCTTGGAGGAATGTCCTGGAATGGGGGATTATGTCGCTGAATGTAAGGCATTCACAATGAGCTCAAGCATCTTGGCATAGTTGTCCCTGAGCAAGCCCCAGCAGCGGCTCTCCTTGTTGGGTTGACCCCATCTTATAATGTCATCCACTCCATGCTCCTGCATCTTCCCCCCAAAGAGCTGACCTTTGCAAAGGGCTCCTCCGCTGTTCGTTCTGCTGAAAAGGACAATAATGTACAAGCTTGAGCAAATGTGTTTCACGTCCCAACCTAGGCTCCAGCCTCGCATCCTAACACGCTACCCACTCGTAATTGCTACCCACCTTGCCCCTATGTCATCAAAATGGAACCGCGTGCAGTGTGGCGGCACCAAACCACCCATTTGCCACCTGTTTCAAGAAAAGGATGACGAGTGGTTCACGAAGAATGGCATCTACTCCAAGCTGCCCAACTGGCGTTGCATGCGCCCGCTCAATCAGGTGGAAGTCTAGGATGGTGAGGACCCAACATTCGACCCCCCTTGTCCTAATGCTCATCTCAACCTGTTGGTTTTTGGCGTTGCCATGATCAATGAAACCACTTCGTAGCACTTGGTGCCAAAACGCTCACCATCCAGACCACTCGAATTCATCCTTGACGCTGAGGCAACCCACACCGTTCTCAAAGACAAAACTCGATACATTCTTCAATACTTCCCTTCATTTGCAACACTTATGGACAGGCTGGACTGGAATGCTTATAGATTGGCGTAGGTAGGATTCGTAGGAGTGCTGCACATAATGTAGGATTTGAGACCGATGGGCTCAGGTCCTTTGCAGCCAGACTCTGCTCGACACCCTCCCCACCAACTATATCGAACCACGCTCCTGCATTTCAGTACTCCTGACTGACTGGGCACTCAAAATAAGTTCGACCCAGAACCACACTGAACCGCACAGTAATCTTCAATAATATGTTAAAGCGTGCATAAATGCACTTAACCTGAGCTGCACTGCACTTGCAAAACTTGAATGCCTTCTTGGTAAGTCAGGAGAAGTTTCAATGAGGGTAGATCGCCTCGAAAGCCACACCCTGTAACCACGTGTCGTCCCCCGCCCCTCCCCCCCCCACCTCGCCTCGCCCACGTGTCGCCTTGCGTCTTTTGAGTGTATCCCCTCTCCCTCCTACTCTCTTCTTCGCCCCTGCCCTGCCTTCTGCACCCCTCCCCCCCCCCCCCCCCCCCTTAGTAGTAGCAGCAGCAGCAGCCGTAGCAGCTGCAGCCGCAGCAGACTCAGCGGCCGCAGCAGCAGCCAGGGACAAGGGGTTCTGAGGATGCTGGTTCAGGGGTGCTGATTCTAGAGGTGGGGGTTGTGGGGGTACTGAATCTAGGGGTGCTGGTTCTGTGGGTGGTGCGTGTGGGGGTGCTAGTCCTGGGGGTGCTGTTTCGGGGAGTGCAGGTGGTAGCCGAGGTATAGCTGGAGGTCCTGGAGAGGACAGGGAGCAGCGGCAGCAGCAGCAGCTGCAGTCTGCCCTTCGTCTCCTTGGCCTTTCTTCAGGTTCCCCTGACTGGCCACGTGTCCCTCTTCCTATGCCTGACCATGTGTACGGCTCGTTGCTCCCTCCCCATGACTCTTCTCCAACTTGGTTTCCCCCGCACTCTCCTCCGTTTTTGGTCTTGTCCCCTTTTCCTCCTCGTTCCCAGTCCCTCGTTCTCCCCCACTAGGTCCCTCGTCCCCCAGGTGATCGTCCTGTCTCTCTTCATCCTAGTGTCCACCCTATGGTCCTTCGTTCTCATGCTCCTCCAGTCCCTGTCATTCTGTTACCTCCCCACTTGTCCTCTGCTCCTCCCTCTGACTCTGCTCACACTGCTCGTCCAGCTCTCTCGCGCTTGCTTGAGTTGCTTGTTACAGACCCTACTACTCCTCCTGAGTCTTTCTTTTCACTTGTCGCTGCGCTGCTGTCGCTGACTTCACTGCTAGCCACCGCCTTGTACTGCCAGTCCTTTGTCCGTAGGGTAAATTACGAGCAGAGTGGCGGAAACTAGCGTATCCGCCGCGAAACTTAGGGTAACATAGCACAGTTGACTATGCACCCTTTCACTAATAGAATCACACTAGGATACGTAGGTCTCGTCATAGTGCAGTAGTCGGGGAATTCACGACTGTTCAAAAAGAATATCCGCGTTGAGGTCTGGTGAGGAAAAGGGTCAATCCAACGCAACATACTAATGCTCTCCAAGCCATTCTAAGCCATGTCTCCTACCTAGGCTTGGAATTGCTTGGAGAGCATGAGTTTGTTGCACTGGAGTGACCCTCTTCCTCACTAGACCTCAACCTGGATATTCTTCCCCACCAGTCAGGGCTTGTTTGACTATTGCACCGTGATGAGACCCGTGGACTTTTTGCGTGATTATTTTAGTGAAAAGGTGCATTGTCAACCGTGCTATATTACCCAAAGTTTCATGGCGGATACGCTAGTTTTCGTCACTCTGCTCGTAATTTTTCCCTACAACGGTACGACGAAGACGATTCATAATATGATGGGACTAATCGACTTATGGCATCTTTGGCCACACCTCAGCATGCCTAGTCTCAGAGATAACATTCAATCAGAAATCGTGCACAATACTTTTGCATACGCGCAAATAATTCGTGATTTAAATAGTGCTCACCCCCTTATGCAAAAGTGTGGGTCCAGGAAGAGTGCGAGAAGATCCCTGTAAAGGTTTGCTCTAGCCTCGTAGATAACATGCCTAGGAGGGTGCGGGTGGTGATCAAGGCCAAGTGTCAGTGGACTAGGTACAAGAAACGCGGCTCGGAAGTTTGCTCTTTGTCCTGGGAAACAATTGTCCAGATGTACTCTTTGTATATCTTTTGGCACTAAGATAGATCCAGTGTCCTACTATGGATTTTAGCATTGTGAACACATCCACTATGAGCCCCTCCCAAAGCGTACCACCATTAAACATTAAGACTTTATGTTCAGTGGTCGAAAAGCACAAAAACCCTAGTTAATGCAAAACATCCGGACAATTGTTTCCGTCACTGTATAACGGGGTTGCCGCTCAGCTCTGCCACGGAATTCAAATCTGCCTTGCAGATTCATGCCTAGATCTGGGCGTTCAACGCCAATTTACAAACCACACGTCTCAGCTCTGCCGAGCCTCGACTGTGTGCTCTAGGCCTAGCTATATCCAGACTCCCTGTTGTTTTTATGTTGCCTTATTGTATTGTTTCCTCTCTACTCAACTATTCAACACATGCTCTTTGCACTTCATTACACCTGGCCATCAGAGCCAATGATCCTTAGCCTTGCACTCTAGTTCCGCTGAAATACCGACACTTAGGGAGACTGATGCTCTGTGCTTACTGCATATCCACTGTCTTGGTAATATTAATCGATAATTAGCTACAGCTACGACTATGTTCGCAGTGCCAGCGTGCCGAAAGCCGGCCAAAATTTCCAAGAAATGGTGGATCCATCGTCGTCTAATGCCATGAGTGCTCAAGAAAGGGCAGCAACACTCAAGAAGTGCGTCTTACTAACGAGTTGTATCAGCAGGAGTTGGCACATCTGTGTGCTGAAAACGCTTAAACTGAATCCGAAATATCTGCACTACGAAGCTGGATACACCAGATACGACACAACACGACCCCACCAAAGACAAACCAAGGACAATAGGAGCAAGTCCCCCAACAGTGAATTTGTTTACAGCACAAAAATCCAGAATAGTACAATGGATCTAACTCATGCCCCAAAATATCTAGAACGAGTACATCCAAACAACTAGTTCCAAGCAAAGTGATCAAACTTCAGAATAACGCTTATGATACCTAGCCCACCGACCTTTGGCCTTGATCACCACCCACACCCTCCTAGGCATGTTACCTATGAGGTTAGTGCAAACCTCGGCAGGTACAGTATCTTCTCACACTCTTCCTGGACCCACTATTTTGCAAGAGGGGTTGAGCACTAGGAAAATTCGCGAAGGAGTTGGGCGTAGGCAAGAGTATTGCGGACGATTACAGATTGAATGGTATCTCTTAGACTAGCCATGCAAAGGTTTGGCCAAAGTTGCCATTAGCCGATCAATCTTGTCTTATCACGGATCGTCTTCGTCATACCGTTGTAGGGTAAAATCACGATAAGAGAGGCCAAAACTAGCGTAGACACCGCAAAACTGAGGGTAACGTAACACGGTCGAATGTGCACCCTTGCACCATTAAAATCATGCTAGGAGCCACTAGGATCCGCGGTGCAGCAGTCGTAGAAGCCACGGTTGTTCTGGAAGAATATCTATGGCTGGCTGCAATTCATGGAGTCAATGCTGAGTGGACAACTAATGTTTGGAAGCATGTGATCTGGTCTAATGGGACCAAGATCTACTGCTTCAGCTCCAATGGCCACGCGATTGCCTGGATTCGTGAAGGCCCAACCCTGCAGCGCCTCCAAATCAATCAGACGGTAAACCGTAGGGACAAGGCTCGGTGATGGTGTGGGGATGTATGACATGTGCGGGGGTGGTGTTCATATACAAGGTTGACAGGCGCATGGACAAGCTCCTGTATGAGGGCATTTTGAATGATGAACTCAAATTAACCATCATTTCTACAGCATTTCCCCCTTTGAGGTCATTTCGGTGCGGACAATAACCCCAAGCATTTGTCATGCCTAGTGTAGGAATGACTTGGAGAGCATGAGTGTGTAGTGCTGGAGTGGCCTTCTTCCTTATCAAACCTCAACCTCTGGGCTTACCTGAAGAGGGAGCTGGCAAATTATAAAAGACCTCCCTCTCGAATGCTGGAGCTTTGGGAGTGGGTCCAAGGAGAGCGGGAGAAGATCCATGCCGAGGTTTGCTCTAACCTCATCAACAACACGCCTAGGAGGGTGCGAGCGGTTATCAAGGCCAAAGGTCGGTGGACTAGGTACTAGAAACACAGTTCTGAAGTTTGCTCTCTATGGTTTGAACTATTTGTCCGGATGTACTCCTTGTAAATCTCTTGGGGTATGAGTAAGATCCAATGTACTATTCTGGATTTTTGTGCTATGAACACATCCACTATTTGCCCCTCCCAAATTGTACCACCATTAAATATTAAGGCTTAACATATAGTAGTCTTAAATCCAAAAAAACCCTAATTAATGCAAAACATACAAACAATTGTTTCTGTTACTGTATTTACCCACGGGTACCAGACGAACAAATTCTTTACATCAGGTGCGTACGAACAGTTTGCAATGGCTAAGGGAGTTTATTATTTAAAGACAGGGACTGACCACATCTGAGTACTAGAGTACAGCTTATTACGTGAGTTACTACTACAGGAAGCCCACAACAGTACAGTATCAAGGCACTTCAGAGTGGAAATAACACGGCAAAATTTGACCAGGTATTGTTTCTGGCGCGACATTCAAGGGGGCGTGCAACGGCATGTGGTTTCGTGCAGAACCTGCCAAACCATGAAGTCGTCGAAGTAGAAGCCAGCTGGGCGGTTGCAGCCGATTCCGCCACCAGAGCATCCGCAACAGCAGGTGACGATGGATTTTGTCACGGGATTGCCTGCCAAGGACAGCTGCAACGCGGCATTTGTCATCGTCGACAAGCTAACTAAGAAGTCTCACTTTGCTGCCTACAAGAAAAGCATCTCAGCCGAAGAAACAGCGAGTCTATTCATCGCGACCGTCGTTCGACTCCACGGCATCCCATCTGCCATCAGTTCTGACCGTGACACGAAATTTACGAGCAACTTCTGGTGCAGCCTTTGGGACCAATTCAGCACGCGCCCACAGTTCTCTTCCGCCTACCACTTCGAGACTGGCGGACATACTGAACAAGCCAATCAGACAATGGAGCAGTTGATTCGCGCCACCTGCAATGACATGTCCGACTGGAAGCAGCAACTGCCTTTGATTGAGTTTGCGTATAATAATGCCCTGTCAGCCACTACCCGACAATCACCATTCTACCTAAACTACGGACAAAACTCCACTGTACCAATCACGCCCAACATCGACGATCCTGTACCCCGAGCCCAACAGTTTGCCAAATACAGAATGCTTGGGAGCGAGCAGCAAAAGCCATTAAGCGCACGAACGTGATTTCTAAACGTAATGCAGACCTATACCAACGGGCAGTGGCATACCAAGCAGGAAACTTAGTTCTACCCGTCACTCAGAACCTTCGATTGCCCATCGTCCCAAAGTTCGCCCCCGTTACTGTGGACCCTTTACAATCAGCCACATAATTGTTAGAATAGCTTGAAAAGGTGGACCATGAAGATGGGAGGGGAGGTACAAGTACAATGTGTTGTCCCCTCTAAGAGATGTCCTAGCTAGGGGGTGTTACCTAGGTAGAGGCAGCATTAAACAAACCAGGGCAACACTATTAATTTGGCCTCTGGTGAAGGTAACAAAACAACTCAGGGCAGTACTAGTAGCCTGACCACTGAGACAAGAGGCCACAAGGCCAGTCAGCAAGTGTAGCAAGAAATGCAGGTATACAACAGCAAGAACAAGTAGGCATAGTACATATAAGGTTACAAGGAGCGGAGCTGCTATTGAGACCAGACCAAGTTGAGAATAGTATCGCTGATGGTCATGAGGTGGTAATGCCTTGGTGAAGATATCAGCAGTGTTGGCCTCTGAGGCCAACTGTACAACATGAGTCCAACCGCGCTGCTGCAAATTACGCAGCAGGAAGAACCGCAGCTAGATGTGCTTCGCCCTGCCCTCGAGTCGAGCCTCCTAACACCGGAGGATCATGTCCCTGTTGTCAGCAAACAGGACCGAGGCAGATCTAGGCTGCTCACCTAAGTCGGTGAGCAAGAACGTCAGCCAATGGAGCTCCTGAGCGTAGATCTCTGCCTCGCAACTGGACTTAGCTACAGACGACGACCTAGTGGACCTCCACGAGACTGCCCACCCAAGACTAGAACAGTGGCCCGATGAGGACCTGAGCGTCTCCAAGTCGTCAGCCCACGACGCGTCTGTGTGTCCAGTGAGCACCACTGGCTCCCGTCCTCCTAGTACAAGCCCCAGTCTAGATGTACTCGCCAGATCCTGCAGCACCCTTCTGGCATCCGACCAGTGGAATGGTCGGTGCCTCCCTGTCGCAACAAAGTGAGCAAGGAGACTGAGAGGGTACGTTAGATCTGGTCGAGTCCAGGTCATCAGGTACATGAGGCACCCACCAGCTCTGCGTATGGACCACTACGCTCAGCTGACTTAGCCGGATCAGGAGTAGAGAGATTGTGATCCCCAAGCAGAGGGGTGGGCTGTGCTAAGGAGGACTGGGATCATGAGAGATCTCCAAGCCCAGATAGCGCCTCAGCTCTCACAAGTTAGTGCAGGTGTGCCTCCTAAGTAACTTGGTCTTCACTGAGGCCACTGCATCTCTGTCAAGTGTAGCAAAGATGAGACCGTCTACGTAGACCAGGTTGTAGAACGGGGTCTGACTAGTGCGAACGAAGATAGAGGGGTCTGCAGAGGACGGAAAGAAATGCAGCTCAGCAAGTGCGGTGCGAAGGGTGTCGTGCCACTTACGGGGTGCCTAATGCAGGCCGTAGATAGGGCGTCACGGCTCCACTCGGTCCCATGTGAGAAGGACTCAGAGAAGCCTTGTGGGCACTGGAGGTAGTTCAGCTTGTGCAGAATACCCTTCAAGAAGGCTGTAGAGAAGTCCAGTAAGTGAAGCTCGTAGTCACACTCCGCGGCCAGGTGGAGGAGTACCCAAAGAGTAGTCATCTTTGGGGTAGGGGAGAAGATCTTGAAGAAGTCCACACCCTCTCGCTACCTAAAGCCTCTAACCATGTACAGTAATTCATCTTGAACTTGGGCGGCTCTCCATGTGCGCGCTTCACCCTATAGATCCACATGCCATTGACTACGTTTGCCCCAGGTGGGGAACTGCGTCGACGTAAGTGCCTATGGATCTGTAGGATGCCATCTCAGCCTCCATGGACTGTATCCACTGGGCTGCCCAGGGGCCCTACATAGCCTCAGTGTAAGAGCGCGGGACAGGGTTGTCCAGGGCTTCCAGGTCGTCCTCTGGGAATACAAGTACGACAAAGATGATCCATGATAAGATGGGACTAATCGACTCTTTGGCCACACCTCAACGTGCCTAGTCTCAGAGATAACATTCAATCTAGAATCATGCACAATACTCTTGCATACGAGCAAATATTTTGCAATTTTCCTAGTGCTCACCCCCTTATGCAAAAGCGTGGGTCCAGGAAGATTGAGAGAAGATCCCTGTAAAGGTTTGCACTAGCCTCATAGATAATGTGCCTAGGAGGGTGAGGGTGGTGATCAAGGCCAAGTGTCGGTGGACTAGGTACTAGAAAAGCGGCTCGGAAGTTTGCTCTTTGTCCTGGGAAACAATTGTCCAGATGTACCCTTAGTATATCTTTTGGCACTAAGTTGGATCCAGTGTCCTATTATTGTCCAGATGTACTCTTTGTATATCTTTTGGCATCAGAGGTGAGGGAAGCGCCGGTAGTAGGGGAGCGTCTCATCAAAACTAACATCACGAGAGTGGTAGGAGCGGTGGTGTACAGGTTGGTAAAATAGCCAGTCACAGGTGCAGGAAGTGGGGTGAGAGCAGTTTTGTCGCGAAAGAAGCAGTGTGAAATGTTTTAGTCTAGTGAAAAGGAGAGGGCCGACGTGGTGGGGCCCAGTGAAGAATCGCAAAGAGAGTCTATGCATAACGCAGCAAGGGATCCTAGACTACACACAGCAGTGGAGCCTAGACTAGAAACAGGAGGGTAATAAGAACCAGCAAAACTAGAGTCATCAACATACAGAGAATACATGGCATGCTCTATCTGAATCATGTCAACATCAGAGATCAGAACCCCACGATGAAGCAGGGCGAGCCAGGGAGGTACCTGCATCAGGGGGCTGAACTGACGGTGGTAGAGGCCGTCCAGGCAGCGGTAACAGCAAGCGGAGGTTTGCCCTGCGCGCCCGCAGACCTGGCCTGCATGCGGGCCGGTCAGCAGCTGGTACTGTATGTGCAGGTCACCGCGCCTCTAGGACCATCAGCTCCCTGGCTCACTGAAGAGCCACGCAACCCCCAGGGCACCAACTACCCTGGGGCCCAACCTCCACGGCCGCCACCACGACCACCTCCCCTATGGCCCACCAGCCCCCACGGGAGATGCTGCTGCTGCGACCTCTGCTACTGCTGCTGCTGCGGCGGCTGCTGCACAGTCCCCGACTCCGACTGACCACCTCTCTCCGTCTGCACCAGCACCCCCTACACCCGCTTGTGCCAACCCCCCACGGCCCTTGCCCCCCTTGCCCTTGCCCCCCTTGCCCTTGCCCCACTGGCCTGAGGAGCGACCAGGCGCGGAGGCAGCTGCGGCAATCTCCATCAAAGTCTCGGAAACGGAGGCGGAGGCAGGAGAGACAGTCACCTGGGAGGGAGCGCTACTCTGAAAGATAGGGACCACCGGCGCGCTAGTGGAGCCAACAATGGCGTGGAAGCGGTCCTCCATCTTAGTTAGGGAGGTGGAGAAGAGGTCAAGAGGGAGCTCAGAAGGGTGGCAAGCGAGGAGCGCGTCGCGTGCAGGGGCAAGGCGATCAGGGAGGCGGGTGACTAGGAAGTGGAGAGTGGCGTAGGGTGGGGAGGCATCCATCTGGGTTTCTATACAGGCCACACACCAACGGGCCTTGAGTGAACGCAGGTGCTCGACAAGGTCGGCTACAGTGGTGAAAGAGGTCAGATCGGGGAAGAAGAAAGGGAGGAGGAGGTGACCAAGAGTGGCAGACAACAGGGTGGAGTATCGAGCAGGAATGACAGTCTAGAGGGCGCGAGCCGACGCAGCACCCACAAAGTGGGAGTGCTCGTCAACCGGCAGGCACCTGAGGATCGCGACACGGGCAGTGGTGTCGCGGGAAGCCCAGATTGAGTAGGCGGTACGTGCCATAGCGTGCTCAGCCTATTGTGCGGATGTCGCGTCAGGAGCGACAGTGCCAGGGCGAGAGGGAGCAGAGAGCTCACCAGAGACGTCGACGTCCAAGGACTCATCGTCCACCCGTTGGCTCATCATATGTTGGAGGATAGTCTCCAGCAAGGCGGCAAATCCGATCGCCCGTTCCTCCCCATCCAGGCACAGAAAAAATACGTTGGCGGCCATGGTGGCTACGGCGGCCGTTGCGGCTGTGGTGACAGTGGTGGCAACGGCGGCGGGTGCTGTAGTAGCTGCGACAGCGGCGGCAGCAGCGGCAATAGCGGCTGCAGCGGCAGCAGCGGTAGCGACGGCAGTGGCGGCTGCAGTGGCGGCGGCAGGAGCGGCGGCAGCAGCAGCAGCGGCGGCAGCAGTGGTAGCGCTGCAGCAGCAGCAGCTGCGGCGGCAGTGGCGGCTGCTATGATAGCGGTGGCAACGGCAGGAGCTGTGGTAGCGTCGACTGCAGTGGCGGTGGCGGCTGCAGCGGCAGGAGTGGTGCCAGCGATGGCTGCGGTGGCAGTGGCGGCTGCAGTGGCAGCTGCAATGGTGGCAGTGGTAGTAGCTGTGGCAGCAGCGGCAGCAGCTGCAGCGAGCAGCAGGGGGCTGCAGCAGGCGGAAGCGGCTAGTCGGCGGCTGGGTAGCGGCGGAAGTGAGCCAGCGGCTAGCTGGCTGGTGGCGGCGGCGGTGCGGCTGCTTGCTGGCGGGCGGGCGGGGAGCCAGTGGCGAGCTGGCGAGCAGCAGCGGCAGCAGGACTGCTGGCTGGTGAGCGGGCGGCGAGCCAGCGGTGAGCTGCTGGCGGTAGCGGTGGCTCGGCTGCTGGCTGGCGAGCCGGCGGCGAGCGGGCTGTAGCGGGCTTGCGGGCCGGCAGCGAGCGGGCTGCGATAGGCTGGCAAGCTGACTGCACGTTGGCTGGAGTGGGATGACGCGTTGGTGGCGAGCTGGCGCAGGAGGCGAGTAGTAGGCACGGCGCGGCGGGGAATGGGCGGGCGGGTAGGCACGAGCTGGTGCTGGTCAGCACTGGCTGGTGCAGGCTAGTGCTGGCTGGCACGACAGGTGCTCTAGCTGGCGATGGGCGCGCGAGCGAGCTACGGGGGGTGGAAGCGGTTAGGGGCGAGTAGGAACAGGTAGGAGTGGCTAGGGGCAGTTAGGGGCGGCACGAAGCTACTTAGCTAGGGGCGGAAGCGTGGGTAGGTGGGACCTAACCTAGCACTAGATGCCATGTTAGAATAGCGTGGAAAGGTGGACTAGGAAGAGGGGAGGGGAGGTACAAGTACAATATGTTGTCCCCTCTAAGAGCTGTCCTACATAGGTTATAACAAATATA